TTTTTTTGTTTAGCTGCGGTGAATTCTCTCTAACAGGTGCACTCGATTCCCATTGTGACCAATAGTGATTTCTTCCACTGTGTTTCCACATCCATGGACCCAGCTGATCATTTACAATAGCTACAACTCTGGGAAGATCATTGATTAATTCATGCTGTCTGTGTTCATATTCTTCTGGAGGAGTGGAAAGGCCAAAGGACATACGCCACTATTTGTGTCTCTTGAACAGTCTCTGGAATGTAGTTGGAAAGCTGTTGCTGTTATCCAGCCTTGCTTGCCAATGGCCATGCTTCACATTGAGTATAGTAAGGAGCTTTGCCTTGGCAAAATTTCTTCTATGATTGGATTTTTAAAAATTCTCTTGTAGGATGTGGGCACCACTAGCTGGCCAGCATTTATTGCCTGTCCTTTGTTGCCCTTCGATACAACTGAATGGCTTGTTAAGCCTTTCAGAGGGCAGTTGAGAATCAATCACATTGTTGTGGCTCTGGAGTCACATGTAGGCCAGACGAGGTGAGAATGGCAGATTTCATTTCCTGAAGGGCATTGGTGATCATGATGGGTTTATCTAGCAACCAACAATGGGTCCATGATCATCATTAGATTCTTAATTCCACATAGAATGGCTAAGAGCTTTTCAATATTTTATCGAGATCCTTTAGATTTATGCATTCTCTCAGATTATCTGTTTTCATTTCACTCCTACGATACCATTAATCCAGTCATTAGGAGTTGCCTCTTTCTTGAATATTCTCTTTCTCCAGATTTATTCTTTTGTCTTTCAGGCTGGACTTGAGGGCAGCTGGAACTCTGTACAACAGATACTAAATTGGTCCCACACACAGATCTTCTTCAGGATAATATTCAGAAGAAGACATCCAATATCTGTAAAGTTAGAAGCTCTCATGTGGTGCAGTCGTAAGGGCTGTTCTCCTGGTTCAGGAGGCCTAGGTTCAACACCCACCTGCTCCAGGACATGTAATAACATCTCTGAACAGGTTGATTAGAATGTAGGTTAAATTAGAAAAAATCAAGAATATATTTGATATCCTTTAGGATCTGTTAAGCAGTCAGTGATTTAGTGGCCTGCAAAATGCTTCAAAACTTTTCTGGTACATTTAGCATTACTTCTCTAAGCTTTAGACTTGCTTCAGCAGACATGAGTGAATTTTACTTAGCATCTACTGTCTGGAACTCAAGATCCTTGTTCTTCCTATTACCTTAAGCTCTCAGTTTTCTTTTGTACTCTTAGGATGGGTATCATTCCATCATATAGTGCTAACCTTACCTTTGGGGTCTTAATTGTTGGTCTTCAGTGCTTCCGCATGGATCTGCAAAGATCATGATGTTATGCAAACCAATGACACCTCATATTCATTTAATGCTCTCCTTCTGCAGTCATCATTCTAACAGACACATTTATCCCCATTAAACCTTCTGATAACAACCTGCTACATCGTATAAAGCGATTTGTCGCAATCATCAGCTGACATCTCTGTCAGCCATCTTTATCAGCTTGTTTTTGGTTATTTTAGCTAAGTACTTGCATGCCAAGTGATTCAGCTTCTTGCAGCTAGAACACAGCTTTCCTGAAGTTGTTCATGCTTCCTTGCCTATTATGTGGTACCCTTCACAACATCTTTCTCTCTGATCTTGATCTTTATCATGGCTCTTCTGCATTTTTTGCCTAGGTTTTTGCAATATGTAGCTCTCATTTGACCTGGAAAATCTTCTAGCATAGTCAAAGTATAATCTGTTCTCCCAACAATATTGTCTAGCTGATGATTATCAACCTGAGAGGTTCTGCATATATCAATAAGTTTCACATCTCTCAGCAGATGTACTTTCGTGATAAGATCTCTAAGGCTGAAGACGTTCCTTTCTCTGATGATGTTATCTTTCACTTGCCCAACCTCACATGATCCAGCTGGACGTATCGGTGTGCTTGTATACTGACCAATAGTCTCCCTCATCTTTGAGCTCTGCTATGGAGCGATCCTTAATATGGGCTTCAAAATGTATCTTCAAAGCCTGCAAAATCTCCCCTGTCAGGTTTTTCTGCTCTTCAGTGAGATGGAGAAAATACGGCAATGCAGCATGTAGCACTGCTCCCTGCACTAATAGCAGGGCTGACACTTTAATTTGCTCAGTCTTTTTATCTCATTTATAAGTTTGACACTGAAGTTGGAAAAAGAATCAATTGTGTCTTGTATCTTTTTTCATTTATCTGGCAGCAGGGAATGGAAAATTTGCAGGCATTTTGACTCTCTGAGCAAAGTTGCAAACATTTTTTTTTCACTTTTTCTTTGCTGCTTCTTTCGGTAGCTGGCTGTTATTTAACTCTGACGATTCACAGCTGCCCCATTCCTGACGAGTTGTTTCAAGTGACGTGTGTTCAATGGCTGCCACAGATTACACACGGAGGTACTAAAAACAGTGGTGGAGGTACAGAAAGGTACACTAAACACAACTGCATTTCTCCAAACAAGACATGTAGGAGAATCTCTTAGAAATTCAACCTTCTACCCCCTTGTTTCTCCAGGTTATTTTTCTGAATCAGGGCGGTGTCATTATGGAACATCTACCCACAAATAACCGTGGGGGCATGCAATATTGTGAAATATACTTACAAATAGGGGGAGGAAAATGCTGCAGCTGATGGATGGGACGTTTGTGAGGGGAAGGGCGTATGGAAACATCCAAAATGCTTCTTCTGATGAAGAATTTCCCTCTCCCCCAATGGATAATTGCACCAATGAAGCACATCGGAGCAACACGTACAATCTTTTCTTCCTTATCACATAAATTATGCTCTGGTGCCTCACAATTCAGAAGGCACCATACTAAGGCAGACATACGACCTTACCTAGTGCAGGCACGATGGGTTGAATGGCCTCATTCTGAGCAGTATGGTTTTTGCCTATTAATATTGGACTTCAGGGAGATGGTTGAATCATGGTACTAATAATTATGTCATACGCCCGGAACCACCTCCAACCATTCCCCTACCTCACCCCATCACAGCCTGAGTTTACCACTTCTTTGGAGCAAACCGTTGCTGGAGTCAAAGAGGCTCGCAAACTGATGTGTTAACTTCACAAAACGAGGCTACTGATCTCAGTTTAATCAGAGGGATGAGCGGAATACTCCGTCGGAATCTCCATTGACTGAGAGGTCGGCGAGTGGAATGAATTTTCGTGCGACAGAAGAATTATCCTTCCCCTTAGTTTAGTTTTATGTCGAGAGAGTGTTCAGAACCTGCCCCCGGCGCTAAACATTGTCAAGCAGGATAGAGAAAAACAGTGTAAATCAACGTAAGAAATGTTACAAAAAGTGAAATAGAGGGAATCACTCGGTAATGTAATCATTCCTTTGAAAGGAATTGCTTGGTGATTACCATATTAATAACCTCCAAGAATTCGCAAAGGATATCTTCCAATGGCGGAAAGTTGGCTAAAAACACAAAATTGACTGGTTGTGATCCGAAGGGAAAACGACTTTGCCCATTTGACTGGGGCTAGCTCACAAGAAAGCGTCCATATTAACTCTTTGCTTTCTACTCGGGCTATTTGTTGTGTATTTTCACCATTTCTTCGTTTTGAGCTTCAGAGAATTGTTTACTGAGAGAGTGAATTCAAGATAGGATGATTCAATGGTAAATATATAACATGAATCACTCGGACAGATAAATATGTGAACTGGCGAATTGTAATGTCCATCTAAAATAGAATCAGGAAATGCTCACAAAACACTAGAAAATGACGAAGCTTAAATAACCACTGGTCTTATGGAAATGCACAAGTTCCCCACATTGTGTCGGAGACAGTAATAATCTGCGCATTTGTATCCGATTTTGAAATTATTACTTGGCAAGATTTTGACGAGGGACAACAATCGTTCATATTCGGGCTGTAATCCCACTCCTTACACTCCAAATTCTTACTACTTTAATAAGTATCCAGAATAGCCTCTGTGTGAAAATAAACGTCGCCAACTTAGATTTGACTCGATGTCCCATACAAAAGGTAAACACACTGCCTGTGCCGATTAACTGGACCATAATTTCAGTATCAGGACAATAGGACTGAAAGAATGGTGGAGACTGAGGGAAGAATGACTGAAAAAGCAAAACAGAAACAAGCAATTGGAAGTTAATGAGTCAAGCGACGCAAAATACAAGTAATGTTGATTTTTAAGAAAAAATATGCAGGGCTTCGGAAGATTTGAGAAAACTAAATAATGAAAACAAAAAGAATAAACATTCGAGATATCTTTTTCCAAGGTAAAAATAGAGAACGAGGTGGATGGCCTGGCCTTCCACTGAACTTTCACAGGATTTGATTTATGGTGCAATAAGAAATCTTTCAGCTTTGTCTGGTTCCCATTACTGGTGTTGGCAAATTTTAATTTCTGACCCTAAGTTGCTGGGGTAAATAAACTGAGAATGATACTATCGGCACCTTGTCAAGAATGCGGGATAAGAGGCATTGGTTTATCATGAACAATCCGAAAGAGTGTTTAATACAGGGGCTATTGTTTTTTTTAAATAAAGTACATATAACTGAGCTTGCCACCTGGTGAGTTATTGCTACCACCGTTGTACGCAAGGCAATCCGTAAAAGGAACGACAAACAGATGACTATTCACTGTGGACGTATTAAGGAGCACTGAACCAAAAACATTACAAAACATTTGCGTTCTTCCACTGTGTCCTTTCAGCACTGTGGAAGAATTTGGGTCAATTTGCGAAAATAACAACAACTGTATCCCCCGTAGAAGGATGATGCCAACATATCCGGTGCTGGGAGATACTTCTCAGAGAATAAGTCACTCCAAAATAGAGATGGATGATAACGTGACCTTTGATTTATACTATTCGAAAATATTTACGTAGGCGATCGTCAGCTAGTTTAATTTTGTCAGCTCCCCATGATTTCGTCATAGTTTCATATAAATTGCACTCACTGTTGAAGGCAAGGGGCCATCTATTGGAAGTGAAGAGTCGGGGGTGGGGGGCGATAAAAGCTTCTTCTGAATCATTCCGGACGGTTTCAGTTCAGTCCCGGACAAGGGAGAGGGAGAGAGAGGGAAGGGAAGAGGGACAGGGAGGGAGTTACGTGTGCTGCTACTGTGAAATGGGGTCTGAATTTATTTTATGGAAACACCGTTTGCTCTTTTCGTTGATCCTTTTGAGTGTTGCATGTTCTAAGGTCCACTATGGGCTCGCAGCTCCAGTTGAAAATCACGGCACTTTGTCGAAGATGTTCCCCAGGGGCAGTCATTGGGCGGTGGGTGAGTATTCAATTGTAATGCTACAGCTGTTGCTGGACGGAGACGCGTGGAAATGTGCTCGAATCTTGACATTTAACCGTTCAGCCAGGAGACAGGCTGGACATTGAATGCCTCACTGTCTTCCCTGAAACCAAACGGTTCAGTGTTTGACCAGTCGTTTAAGATTTAAAGTATCTTTCTGCCTTGAATACTGGCGAAATTTGTAGCTAGATTGAACTCGTCACCTCGATCATATTACGAAACTGCAAAGCGCTGTTTTTTTTTTGAAATGAAGGCGTTTTATTTCCTTACCAGACGGGCGGCGCTTTATGCCGCGTGTGCTTTCACTACCCTGGAAACAACAGCGCTCTTTTATTTTGCGCACATGTAAACTAGTTTGCCTCCTCGTTGATCGTTAGGATGATTTCTTAAAAGATATGATTTCGGTGTCCGGTTAGAACAGAGCATTGAACCTGCAGGTAGATATTCTTAAACAGCCTGTCCAGATAGGGTTATGACACATGTCTGGGGCAATTGGGACTTGAACTTTCTGACCCAGAGATCGAGACACTGGCACTGCACTAGAAGAGCCTTGTTTACCGGAATGTCTTCTGCACTCGGTGTCCCGACCCGTTCAAAGGACTCAGCGCAGTAAGGAAACTCGGAAATAAACAAAAACCAAAATGCTCGAGAAACTCATATTTACAGCATTCGCAGTATTTTGCTTTTCCCGTGAAGAAAACTCGGAAAAGTCTTTAGTAGAAACCTCAATCTGGCCCGATACGAAGTAACCTGCAAAACGCAGCCTAAAGATACCAAGGTCCAAGAGGGCGCATGACCCTGTGATCTGTTGGACAACAGTCGGTGCTAAGTCTACCTCCTTCCTTTTCTCTCTAGTTTGCAATGAAACTAAAAGTTAGTTCAGAGTGATGAACACAGCAAGAAAAAGAGGCATAATCCAGAGTGAAACAAAGCCATTGTTTACTGTAGGCGAGCAGTTTACCATTATTCGCCCTCCTTAAATTTCTTTCCCTGTCCAGGAATTCCAGTTTGCAGTCAGAACTTTTAATGCCCCCGACAGCCGCTAGGTCGAACATCCCCCACATCTTAGGTAGTACGCGAGGAATTTCAGTAAAGCGAAAACGCAGGATAGATACAGGACCATTCAGACACGAGGAAATACCGACTGCGTTACAGTTCAAAAATAGCATATACTTTTAGGTTGGTAAGGTAGGATTTGCTAGTAAGAGAACTGGGGCTAAAAAATCGCCCGCCTATTAACACATTAGAAGCTTTCCGATTATACCGGTGAAAAAAAATAATCTTACAAGCTTTACTTTCAATTTCTGGCATTTAGACCACATTTCCAAAATCTGGAAGCCTGTCCGCAGAACAGTTCGAATTCTTAAGCATGCAATTATTGTAATACTGCTTTACCGGTCACATGAATCACAGATTTTGCATATTATCTCGTTTTTGTTGTAAAAAAAATCTGAACCTAAAAGACCGCCACATTACACTCCACGATCGCAAGGTTTTCTTTTGGCGAGCGTCTTGCGCCACCTTTTGTTTATGCTTGTAGTAACAATTCGATCTAAACCACAATGCAGGAGTCAGCACCGCGACTGAGGTCCTGCCCTGCCTGATTAGGCTCATCGTCAAAATAGGAACACTGCTGGAATGTACCCCCTTTTTGATTTCTCAATCAAACCGATATGTAAATTCTCTCGATAAATTGAGAATTGTGCCTCATGAGTTGTATTTCTATATTGTTGTCCATGTCAATGTGGACTGGATTAATGCCACACAAATTTACTGTGCTGAAAATGTGGTCCTCCTTATCTATAATCACGTAACAAAACAGATCAAGCCAGACATTACAGAAAATATAATGAAAATATAACGTTTTTAATTGAGCATTTTTCTGTTAGGTGCATCCATTTAAGTGCAACATTGGAACATTTATTCAATATGACAAGAAATATACACATTCTTATACAAGTGATGTGGTCTTATAGTTATAATTAACAGACCCTCAGGATATCAAAGCAAAAAGACCTAAGAAGGATGTCTTTTCTCACTGTGCCTCTGTGGCAGTTCCCCTTTAGTGTGTCTGTCAGCACATGGTTGTAGACCTTGGAATGTGCCAGTCTGTAATGTTCAGTCAAGGTAAACTCTTTGTACTGGAAGACCAGCAAGTTTTGAGCAAACCAAAGAGTGTCTTTTTCTCTGAATTGATGGTCTTCCAAGTGTATTCAAGATGTTTGTCTGAGTTTGTGCTCCTGTGAAATCCCAGATAGCACAGAATTTTGTATCATAGAAATGTTTTGCACAAACCACATCTCACTCTAGACCTTTATCGCAAAGGCACATTCCAGAAGGAGATGTGTGATATGTCTTCACAAGCTATCTCAAGGGCAGTGTATAGTGACTCAGAGAGCATGCATAAAAGATCTGACAGGTAGTGCTTTTCTCACCACCTGTACAGTGCTTGTTGGAAAGTTCTGGTGATAGGGTGTTCTGTCGAATGACTTTAAATGTCTCCTCAGGGCAGCATCTGACAGGGTCACACAAACATGCAAACTGTACAGGACTAGGCCATTCAACTCTTTGAGCCTGCTTCACTATTCAATATGATCATGGCTAATCTTCTACCTGACTACCAGCTTTGAGGATGTTACATTGCTGAATATTATATTTTTTATCCCCTCAACCAAAGCCACCAAAATAAATTAGTTAGCTATTTCTCTTGCTGTGATATTTAACATGTTTATCATGCTCTTGGACATAATAACATTTCAAAAGCAATTCATCAGCTGTGAAGCACTTTGGGTTTACCTGAAGATATGAAAGGCATTTTATAAATGTGTTTTATTTTCTTAAAAAGTCAATCGGGAACTTATAACAGACACACTGAATGCAGTAATGATACAGCTGACAACAAATGAACATGCTGACTATTGTTATCTTTACCATGTGTCATCTTGTCAGAAATTTTACAATGATTGTCAGAAGCCACTGCATTTGGGGTACACTTGTTTAAGTTCAACTATGAACTATAGTGTCAGACCAAAGAAATTTGACTCTAGAGCAGAATTGAAACAACACTTGGGACTGTTACTTGTTATTCATTCACTGGATGTAGGGGCCTCAGGCAATGCATAACCCTAGTTGCCCAGCAGGCAGTCAAGAATCTGGGTCTAGAGTCATATGTTGGCCAGACCAGGTTAGGATGATGGATTTCCTTCTCTAAAGGACATTTGTGAACCAGATAGGATTTTTTTTCCCTGACAATTGACAACTGCTGCAAGGTCATAGTTAGATTCTTAACTTCAGATTTGTTATTGTATTCAAATTCCACAATCTGACATGACAGGGTTTGAACCTAGATCCCCGGAACATTACCTCTGGATTAATAGTCTGATTCTCTCAAAGTAAACTTGCAGGTTGAGTCAGTAGTTAGGAAGGCAACTGCAACTTTGGCACATATTTTGACAGGACTTGAATATAAAAGCAGTGATGTACTTCTGAGGCTCTACAAGGCTCTGGTCAGGCCACATTTGGTGTATTGTGTGCAGTTTTGGGCCCCATATCTCAGGAAGGATGTACTAGCCCTGGAGTGGGTTCAGAGGAGCTTCACGAGAATGGTCCCGGAAATGAAAAGCTTAACATATGAGGAACATTTGAGGACTCTGAGTCTATACTCGATGGAGTTTAGAAGAATGGGGGGAGTGGGTGTCTAACTGAAACTTACCAAATACTGAATGGCCTGGACAGAGTGGATGTTGGGAAGATGTTTCCACTGGTAGGAGAGACTAGGACCTGAGGGCACAATCTTGGAGTAAAGGGAAGACCCTTTAGAATGGAGTTGAGGAGAAACTTCTTCAGCCAGGGAGTGGTGAATCTATGGAATTCACTGCCACAGAAGGCTATGGAGGCCAGGTCATTGAACACATTTAAGACGGAGATAGATAGGTTCTTGATTGTCAAGGGAATCAAGGGTTCCAGGGAGAAAGCGGGAGAATGGGGTTGAGAAACTTATCAGAGATAGTAGGAACTGCAGATGCTGGAGAATCTGAGATAACAATGTGTAGAGCTGGATGAACACAGCAGGCCAAGCAGCATCAGAGGAGCAGGAAAGCTGACGTTTCGGGCCTTCAGAGCCCGGGACCATTCTGAAGAAGGGTCTAGGCCCGAAACCCCTGCTGTGTTCATCCAGCGCTACACCTTGTTATCTGAGAAACTTATCAGCCAAGATTGAATGGCGAAGCAGACTCAATGGACTGAATGGCCTAATTTCTGCTCCTATGTCTTATCTAATAATGCCACTAGGTCATTGCCTCCCCAGTACTGATATTTGTAAATGCTTGGAGCTCAAGGTACACAATTTCAAATGTTCATAATTTACTCTAAAGGACCACCTACCATTAGAATCGATGCATGTATCAAGAAAGATGTTTCCCATTTCTTGAAAACCCTAGCTGGCTGCTTATAACTAGAATAAAATATAATTTACCTCACATGCAGAAGGAAGAATGATGTTAGAGACAAATCAGAACTGCTGAGAACTATGAATAAAAAGAGGCAATGCTGGAAATTTGCAGCAGGCAATTCAGCTGAAGAGTTACAGCAAAACATAAACCTTTCTTTCAATGCTGAGTGACTGCTGTGCATTTGAAGAAGTAAGACTGCTTTACATGTATATTGGAGATAAGGTTTACATTGTTTGTCTTCAGTAAGTTGTTGTCAGAGCCTGTCAGAGCTGTATCCAGTTCCGTCAGCAAGTAAAAGGAGTGATTGAATTGACTAAACACTGACATCCATGACACTGGATACTTAAGGAGTGGGTTAACTGGAGTCATCCACTTGACACTTCTGTCTGAAGTTGGTCGCTAGTGCTACATCCTTGTCTTTGCACTTATGAGCTGTTTCATTAAGTCTGCGGAGTCTCTTCCTCAGGTTAGTTGTTTGCTAATCGACCACTATTGATGTCTAGATGTGGGTGGACTTCAGAATTTTGATCTGATCTGAATCTGTTCCAGTGCTGCTATAATTCAGGTAACTACCCAACAATACATATAATTGCCTAGGTCTGTCCTGTCTGTAAAAAAACGGACAAATTAAATGGCCAATTACTGCTCCAGCAATTGACTCTCAGTGATCAACAAACTGGTGGAAGGTGTCATTGACAGTGCTATCAAGTGGCACTTACTCAACTACTCATTTAGCCTCATTTTGGGCCTGGTCCAAATATGGACAAAAATGTTGAATTCCAGAGGCGAGTTGTGAGTGCTTGCCTTTGATTTTGAGGCAGCATTTAACTTAATTTGGCATTAAGGAGCCTGAGCAAAATTGAAGTCACTGGCAACTGCAAGAAAATTCTGCACTGTTTGGAATCACACCTAGCAAAAAGAAAAGTGGTTGTGTATGTAGGAGTTGTATATCAGCCCTAGGACATTGCCACATGAGTTTCTCAGGGTAGTGTTATGAGCATTTTTATTTACTTTATCAGTGACTTACCCTTTAACAAGTTCAGAAGAGGGCATGTTTGGTGATTATTAGATAATGAATCAGCACCATTCCCAGCTCCTTAGATACTGCAGCAGCCATTATTTACATGCAATAAGACTTGGAAAGGATTCATGATACATGGAAAGTAACATTCAGACCACCCAAATTTAGGCAATAAGCATTTCAAAATAATGGAAATCGAACTATCTTGCCATGATATAAAACAGCAATGCAATCACTATCAACATTGCCATTGGCCAGGAATTTAACTGGATCAGCCAAATAAATAGTGACAGATTAGAAGCTGAGAATTCAGCAATAAATGCTGCAAATCTTGAATCCCCAATTCCTATCTACTGTTTACAAGGTACACTGATTTTTCCAGACTAATGCAACTCCAACAAGAGTCAAGAAGTTCAATACCATCCTATAAAATGAAACCACTTAATTGTCAGACCAACACCATCTTAAACATTTATTCCCTCCATAACTAGTGCACAGTGGCAGTAATGTCTACCATCTACAAGATGCACTGCAGCAACTAACCTTGGCTTCTTCAATAACTCCTTACAAATCTGTGAACTCTATCCCATAGAAAAATGAGACCAACAGGCACATTTAACAGCGCTTGCAAATTCCTCATCAAGTCACACAGCAGCTTGACTTGGAACTGTATTGCTGTACCCTCATTGTAAGTGAACTGAATCCAGGAACTCCCTCAATGACAGGGTATGCCTACACTACATAGACCGCATTAGGTCAATAAGGTAGCACACCATCATTTTCCAAGGGCAATTAGAGTTGGACAAAAATGTCAGTCCTATCAGAGACATTCACGTCTCATGAATTATGTTTTGATAAAAATTGAAATTTGGGTTTTTGGTATTCTTTTGGTCAACTTTTTGGGGGGAATTGGGTAATTACAATTCAAGAGCTATAAAGCTGCTGCAAATTGTCCTTTATAGGTATACAATGGAGTGATACATAGTTAGAAATTTAAAAATACTTATTCATTTTGTCGCTAATGGTGTTTAATTATTTTAGAGAACTCAAACTAAGGAGTTTCAGGATCCTCTTGACAGCATTGTCAACTGTTACTGTATGCCTCTTTTGACAATAAGGACATTAAGCTATCAGTAAAGGCTCATCATTCTTATAACACCAACTTGAATTTGATTTCTTTGGTGGGGCATGAAATGACTGCAATGTGTCTCAACAGCCAAATATCAACTGTGAAGGCTGACATGATGCCTTAAATTTTAAGTGCCTTCCATAAGGATCCTGGCCGTTTGAAAAACATTCCTGGCAATAACTGTTCCTGTTAAGGTGAAAGTCAAGGCTGGTAGGTGAAGAGAATACTGGATGACTAGAGAAATTGAGGTTTTGCTCAAGAAAAAGAGGAAAGCATATATCAGGTATAGATGGCAGAAATTAAATGATTCTTTAGAGTATAAAGGCAGTAGGAGTATACTTAAGAGGGAAATCAGGAGGGCAAAAACAGGACATGAGTTAGCTTTGGCAAATAGGGTTAAGGAGAATCCAAAGGGATTTTACAAATACTGAGCCTTTTGATACTCCACTGGCTACAATTTTCTGTTAGTTCACCAATTCACAGTATGTGAATTAGGGTGAAGGGCAAGATGGGTAGGTGTAGCGAATGCTGGATGACTTGAGAAATTGAGGTTTCGGTGAAGAAAATGGTGGAAGCATATGTCAGGTACAGGCAGCAGAGATCAAGTGATTCCCTAGAGAAGTATCAGGTATAGACGGCAGAAATTAAGTGATTCTCTAGAGTATAAAGGCAGTAGGAGTATACTTAAAAATGAAATCAGGAGGGCAAAAAGGGGACATAAGAATAGGGTTAAGGAGAATCCAAAGGGATACTACAAATATATTAAGGACAAAAAAGTAACTAGGGGGAGAATAGGGCCCGTTAAAGATCAGCAAGGCCACCTATGTGTGGAACTACAGGAGATGGAGAAGATACTAAATGGATATTTTGCATCAACATTCATTGTGGAGAAGAATATGGAAGATAGAGAATGTGGGGAAATAAACTTCTTGAATAATGTCCATATTACAGAGGAGGAGGTGCTGGACGTCTTAAAACGTATAAAGGTAGATAAGTTCCTGGAACCTGATCAGGTGTACCCTAGAACACTGTGGGAAGCAAGGGAAGTGATTGCTGGGCTCCTTGCTGTGATATTTGTATGATCGATAGCCACAGGCAAGGTGCCAGAAGACTGGAGGTTGCCAGTATTTAAGAAATGTGGTAAGGAAAAGCCAGGGAACTATAGACCGGTGAGTCTGACATCATTGGTGGGCACGTTATTGGAGGGAATCCTGAGGGACAGGATTTACATGTTTTTGGAAAGGCAAGGGCTGATTAGGGATAGTCAACATGGCTTTGTGCATGGGAATTCTTGTCTCACTAACTTAATTGAGATTTTTCATGAAGTAACAAAGAGGACTGATGTGGGCAGAGCAGTGGATGTGATCTATATGGACTTCAGTAAGACATTGAACAAGATTCCTCATGGTAAACTGGTTAGCAAGGTTAGATCACACAGAATAGAGGGAGAACCAGCGATTTGGATACAGAACTATCTCAAAGGTAGAAGACAGAGGGTGGTGGTAGTGGGTTGCTTTTCAGACTGGAGGCCTGTGACCCGTGGTGTGGCACAAGGATCAGTGCTGGGTCCACTGTTTTCGGTCATTTATATAAATAATTTGGATGTGAACACAGGAGGTATGGTTAGTAAAGTTGCAGATGACACCAAAATTGGAGGTGTAGTGGACAATGAAAAAGGCTACCTCAGACTGCAACGGGACCTTGATCAGATGGGCCAAAGAGCTGAGGAGTGGCAGATTTAGTTTACAAATATAAGTGGGCCCAGCACAAATCCCTGTGGAACACCACTGGTCACAGGCTTCCAGTCCAAAAAACAACGTTCCACCACCACACTTTGTCTCCTACTGTCAAGTTAATTTTGTATCCAATTGATAAGCTCTCCCTGAATCTCATATGATCTACCATGTGGAACCTTGTAAAAAGCTTTACTAAAGTTTTTGTTTTAACCACTCTGCCCTCGTCAATCTTTTCAGTTTTGCTGGTCTCATATCCTGTGAATGAATAAAACAAAATATTAGTGCAGACATATTCTATGTTTGCAGCTGCTTCTGGTGGAGGATCTTTTTCAAAGAGCCATTGAAGCCAAAGTAATTCTAATTAAAGCAATCCCACCTATCATGCTTATATAGTACTGTATTTCAATTTTAGTGAAAATCTTCTTGATTCTTTTAAGGTCATTTGATGGGGAAGAAAAGTATTGACGATGGCCTTTATGGCTATGCCAGCAGTGACAACATGGCTCTGTCAGAAAATGCCAAGCAGAGAGAAGATAACTTGCAATGGGCTGAGTTGGCTAAGGATTTCTTACGTTTGTGGGAAGGAGTGACATCCAGAAGGATTCAGCCAACAAAGGAATACTTTCCAGTATTTAACAAAAAACCATGGCAGACAACGGACAATGACATCCAAGAGGCAAGTATACAAAGCCCACTTTGTAATAAGCAGAGAAAACTCTCCTAAGGGATTGCGAATGTGTAACTAATTATAAAGAGCAAAAATATCAGTATTTTAATCCCTGATAATTGGGGAACTCACCTAGAATCTTGGTTCATGATTACTCTGCATTAACTCTAGCTGGAAAGTTTAGGTAGAAGTATAACCTGATTGGAATGATGCTCCTTATTTGGGAATAGCAGAATAGCAACACCAGTATGTAGTTTAAACACAGAAGGTGTTTATTTTGTTGGGTACTGGAAACGGAACAAAGTCTATGGAAATATATGCTTCCATTTGGAAGGCAATGGAGAATATTGGAGGAAGAGGATCAATTTTGATTTAGATGCTGTAGGACAGAATTTCCTCTGATGTGCTGTATCAAAGTTATAGCTGTGCAATGTATAACAACAGCAGCTAAAAACAATTTGCATTTATGTAATTACTTCAATGTAGTAAGACGTCTCAAGAAGCTTCAAAGGAGCAATAGCAATTTGATACAAAGGTATGTAAGCAAATATTTAGACAGATGACCAAAAGGTCCGTCAAAGAAGTTGGTTTTGAGAAGTATGGCAAGGAGACAAAAATAGAGAGGCAGAAAGATTTAGGACAGGAATTCCAGAGTTTAGGCTTCAGACAGCTGCATTCATGGCTGCCAACAGTAGGGTGATTAACGTCAGGGATGTACAAGAATCAAAGGAGGGCTGAAATTGCACAGGTAAGCAAGGCTGCCACTGTTTAGAAGGAGAGAGAGGGGCAAAGCCATTTCAGCTGGGAAAAAAAGGGAATAATCAATCTTCAACAGTAACCTTCAACAGTATGAAGCTTCAATGGGACTAAGTACTATTCCCCTGCTAGTTTAAGAAAATGACTGAATTTTTTTTATGAATCACAGAGTATGTAATATATGTCAGGAGCTTCTGGTACAATAATACACTCTTAAAATAGGAAGAATATTGATAAGAAAAGACATTGGAAACAATGGCTTTTGTGTGCTGCCCTACAGTGGAAAATCGGTGGAACTGTTTACATGGTTTTACTGGTGCCTCTACTAAACTTGACAAGGTTACAGTGGAATGGAAGAGAATCCGTGCAGAAATTGTATGCCTAAGTATTTAAATTATTAAGCGCAAACATAAAAGTCTTTGTGGCTGAAATTCCTGGGTGATATGTTGCAATTAAGTCCCGTATAAAATGTCATTTCAAATCTAACAGAATGTGTGAGGACAGGTTTAAAACCCATGTCTCCCCGTCTGAAGTCATGGCTGACAGTGTCGGATGGAGGAAAATTAGGGATGCACAAAAGATCAGAATTGAAGAATTGCTGAAATTCTGAAGATGAATAAGGTTGCCAGAGCTTGGAGGGGCTATGCTGAGAATTCTAACCAATGTGTTTTGTTTAAAGTTTGTTAAAAAATTTTCATGAAATATAATAATCACTGGTAAGATCAGCATTTGTTGCTCATCCCTAACTGTCCTTGAGGAAGTGATAGGGCACCATAGTCTGCATGGTATGTGTAAACCCTCAGAGCTGGTGAGTTTTCAAAAGAATTCTCAGCTGCTGATGGATGACGACAATTCTTTCTAAGTCCTCAAGATTCACTGGACAAAAATAATTGATCCCTCTTGAGACTAACTGTATTGTTTTCATTGAATGGATGCACGCAGAAGGAGACCATTTGATCCCACATATCCATGCCAGTTCCATGCAAATGCCCTTTCCCTGTAGCCCTGTGTTCTTTTTCCTCCTTGATGACTAGAATTCCTTTTTAAAACTACAAATGAATCTATGTCCACCAAACTCTCAGACTGTAATTTCCAGATCCTAACCACTCACTGTCTGAAAAAAATCCTTTCATGCTGCCTTTGTTTCTTTTCCCATTTGACCTAAATTGGTGCCCATTAGTTCTCAACACTTCTGCCAATCTAGCCTTCAAATCTTCTCTAAAGTGTGGCTTCCAGAATCACGCACAATGCTCTGGTTGAGGCTGGACCAATATTTTATGAAGGCTTACCATTGCTTCTTGGGATTTGTCCTCTATGCCTTTATTTATAAAAACCCAGGATCCCATATGTTTTATTGAGAAGTATTTAATCAGCCTGCTCTGCCAAATTCATGGATTTTTTATATATAGGTCAAAGTACCTCTGGTCCTGATTGCATTTTGGAAATTTGCCTTCATTCTGTAATGCCTAATCTTACTCTTCTTAGCAAAGAGCAACATTTCACGCTTCTCACATTAAACCTCATCTGCCATTTGTCCATCTATTCTACCACTCTGTTTATGTCCTATTGAAGTCTATTGATATCATCCTAGCTCTGCGTCATCTCAAAATTTAAAACTGTGCCCTCAAAAGAGAATTGGGAGGTGAAGCCCCAAGTATCCACATTTTCCACAATTTCTTACCTTAGTACCCTCAGATGCATTTTTACCCCCTCCCCAGTCCTGATGAAGGGTGTAAACCTGAAACATCGACTTTCCTGGTCCTCTGATGCTGCCTGACCTGCTGTGTTCTTCCAGCTCCACACTGTATTATCTGATTCCATAATGTATGAACTTTAAGTGCAACCATTCGGGCTAATTTTTTAAAATCAATTTTTATTCCATCCAGGGTCAACTACATCCTTTCTAGCTTTATAGTAATTTATCTTTACTTGCTCTTTCTAACGGCAAAAGAAGCACCTTGGCCCCCTCAAATCATACTTCTTCACTTGTTTAATAATGGCGGTAGATCTTTCAGCCCCTATCCACCATTTAGTAGAACATAGAACATAGAACATTACAGCGCAGTACAGGCCCTTCGGCCCTCGATGTTGCGCCGACCTGTGAAACCAATCTGAAGCCCATCTAAACTAAACTATTCCATTATCATCCATACGTTTATCCAATGACCATTTAAATGCCCTTAAAGTGGGCGAGTCTACTATTTTTGCAGGCAGGGCATTCCACGCCCTTACTACTCTCTGAGTAAAGAACCTACCTCTGACATCTGTCCTATATCTATCACCCCTCAATTTAAAGCTATGTCCCCTCGTGCTAGCCATCACCATCCGAGGAAAAAGGCTCCCACTGTCCACCCTATCTAATCCTCTGATGATCTTGTATGTCTCTATCAAGTCACCTCTTAACCTTCTTCTCTCTAACGAAAACAGCCTCAAGACCCTCAGCCTTTCCTCATAAGACCTTCCCTCCATACCAGGCAACATCCTGGTAAATCTCCTCTGCACCCTTTCCAATGTTTCCACATCCTTCCTATAATGCGGTGACCAGAACTGTACGCAATACTCCAAGTGCGGCCGCACCAGAGTTTTGTACAGCTGCAACATGACCTCATGGCTCCGAAACTCAATCCCTCTACCAATAAAACCTAACATACTGTACGCCTTCTTAACAACGCTATCAACCTGGGTGGCAACTTTCAGTGATCTATGCACTTGGACAGCGAGATCTTTCTGCTCATCCACACTACCAAGAATCTTACCATTAGCCCAGTACTCTGTATTCCTGTTATTCCTTCCAAAGTGAATCACCTCACACTTTTCCGCATTAAACTCCATTTGCCACCTCTCAGCCCAGCTCTGCAGCTTATCTATGTCCCTCTGTAACCTGCAACATCCTTCCGCACTATCCACAACTCCACCAACTTTGGTGTCATCCGCAAATTTACTAACCCATCCTTCTACGCCCTCATCCAGGTCATTTATAAAAATGACAAACAGCAGTGGCCCCAAAACAGATCCTTGAGGTACACCACTAGTAACTGAACTCCAGGATGAACATTTCCCATCAACCACCACCCTCTGTCTTCTTACAGCTAGCCAATTTCTGATCCAAACCGCTAAATCACCCTCAATCCCATGCCTCCGTATTTTCTGCAATAGCCTACCATGGGGAACCTTATCAAACGCTTTACTGAAATCCAAATACACCACATCAACCGCTTTACCCTCATCCACCTGTTTGGTCACCTTCTCGAAGAACTCAATAAGGTTTGTGAGGCACGACCTACCCTTCACAAAACCGTGTTGACTATCCCTAATCAAATTATTCCTTTCTAGATGATTATAAATCCTATCTCTTATAATCCTTTCCAACACTTTACCCACAACCGAAGTAAGGCTGAAGTAATATCATGGCCAATCTGACTACAGCCTCAATTCAACTTTCTTATCTGTTCCCTATAACCCTTGACTCCCTTATTGATCAAAATCTACCTAACTCAACCTTGAACATATTCAATCATTCAACCTCCTCTGCTGTGTGGGGAAGAGAATTCCATAGACTAACAATCCTCTGAGAGAGAATAAAAATTTTCTTTATAGTCTTAAATGGGAGACTACAATCTTTTTAAACTGTGTCCCCTATTTCTAAACTCTCCAACAAGGGAAGCATCCTCTCAGCATACACACTATCAAACCCTTAGGACCTCATATGCTTCAATAGGATCATCTCTCATTCTTCTAAGCTTCAGTGAGCATAGATATAGCCTGTTCAAAATTTCCTCATGAGATAGCACCTTCATCATAGGGATCGGGATAAGAATTTTCTCTGAACTTCTTCTAATTCTGTTATAGCCTAGATTAAGTAAATAGATCAAAACAGCACTCCAGATACAGGCTCACTAAGACCCTGCACAAATACAGTAAAACTTCCCTGCTTTTATATTCCATGCTCCTTGCAATAAATGCTAACATTCCATTTGTGCTCCAAATCACTTGCTGCATCTACAAACCAACCTTTTGTGATTCAAGCACCTGAACACCCAAATCACTCTATACCACAGAATTCTGCAATTTCTCTCCATCCAGACAATATTTCTGTCTGGCCCTACATTTTCATTCTTCCTGCCAAAGCAGACAAGTTCACATTTTCCTACATTATACTTCATCTGTCAATTTATGCCCTTTCACTTAACCTACCTAAATCCCTTCATAGTCTGTTAATTCCTCTGGAAACTTAATTTTCTATCAATCTTCATGTCACAAACAAAATTAGTAACCATACATTCACCCAAGTCCGTGATGTACATTATAAATAGTTGAATCACCAGTGCTGATCCTGTGGCTCGTCAGCCTGAAAAAGACTCATTTATCCTTAAGTGTCTCCTTCCTTTTAGAATTAGAATTAGAATTAGGTTTCATCGCTACTTGTTCGCAAGTACAGGGATACAGGGATACACTGAAAAGTGAAAAAGTCGCCATTCCCGATGCCACCTTAGGTACAAAATCTTAGGTACAAAATGGAAAAATAAAGAAATAAAGTTAGAAGTTCAACTTATATTCAACATTACAGTCTGTCTCTAACCATGGGTTACCAAACCATCTGTTCAAATTAATATTTTATACCTACGTCATGAGCTTTTATTTTGTGTGGTAACCCTTGATATATATTTCTAGCTGACTTATTGTTATACTTTTAGCTCTCCCTCCTTAATTTCTTTTAGTCATTCTTCACTGATTTCTGAACCTTGCCCAATTACCTGACCCATCATTGATTGAGCTTTGCAGCTTTCCATGTTTTTCTTTCAATTTGATGCCATCTTTAGTTAATCACAGTTGGTGCATTCTTCAGAAAGAGTTTTTCTTTCTCAATGCAATATACCTTTGATGACAGTTTCAGAATATCTCCTGAAATGTTGGCTGTAGTTCCTCTACCCTCCTGCTTTATAACCTATCTTCCCTATTTACTCATATCCTTAGAATGGTAGTCGATTAAGTATAAGATATTAGTCTTTGACCCACTCCTCTCACCCTCAGACTGAATGTCAAACTCTAACATGTTATGGGCACTGTCACCAAGAGGCTCTGTTACTGTGGAATTATTAGTTAATCTTATCCCATTGCACATGGCCAGATCTAAAATAACACAATCTCTGGTTGGAACTAAAATGTATTTATAATAAGATGTTGTCTTCACTACTCTCTAAGAACTCATTCTCTAGGTGACCTTTGCCAATCTGATTTGTCAAATCATTCATGTTTATTGCAGTATTTTTCTTACTAGCCCTCATTATTTCTTCATGTATACACTTCCTACAGTGTAGCTACTGTTGGAGGCCAAGAAAGTACTTCACAAATGCCCTCTTATCTTTGCTATTTCTAATCTTTACGCAAACTGATTCCAGGATGATTCAAGTAATAACTATCCCAACAGCGCACTGCAGACTATCTCAGTACTGATGCCAGGGCTGCATGTGTCAAAACCCATTTATCCCACACCTAGCTTTGAACCGTGCATTAAATTCTCTAATCTTATTGATCCCATGGTCAGACAACAATCCAGAGATTATACCTGCTATGGTGCTGCTTTCTAATTTAGCTTTTAGCTGCTCATAATTCACAAGCAGAACCTCTGTCTTAATCCTGTCATTGGTGACTGCAATGACTGATAATGTGATGAATGATAGAGACTTGCTGCTTCTACCTTTCTGCAGAAGCTATCCCTCAGAATATTGCAGACTGACTTTGGCTTTGAGTTTCAGTGGCCCTTTTTGGAAAAGCTACAACCCACTCCTAAAATGGTTCAATACTAGTAAAATTTCTATATCAATGTCAATGTGAATGACTTGGGTCTTGTGTTGCAATAGAAATGCTAATTAGCTTTCTTGAGGCCACCTCCCTAACTCCATATACTTAGGGTTGGGGACTTTAAAGAGTAGCTGTATAGCTCTGACTGAGCTGACCAAGTCATAAAGGACATAACTGCAAGATGGGACCTATGGCTGGTGATGCAACTTCAGGAATTCCTCGAGGTAGTGGACTAAACCCAAACATCTTGAGTTGTTTTACCAATGCTGTTCCCTCCATGTTCATTGATGTTCGCACAGTGCTCTGCACCATTCATGACTCCTGATATTGGAGCTATCTGTGGCCATATGCAGCAAGATCTGGACAATATCCAGGTTTAAACGGTTAGTGTAATTCACGGTGCTTGGTACTGTTTAGTAAGTGGTGTCTGAGCACAGAATTTTTTCTAATATTGGGCAGTACATTCTGAGTTTTACAAACCGAAACAGGCTGAGTACGGCCATTTTTTGTCAGTTGCAAGCAGCCAAAGGAGCATGCTCTTTCACACAATCTATCAGTCACTAGGCAAAGAGTGTAAATAGCAAGGTCTTTTCAACTTAATGGCAGCTTCCTGTTTGGTAGAGAACACAACTTTTGTTGTGAAGAGCCTGGCTTCATCTTGCTCAATTTTTTTTTGAGATGCTATTTGAGGTGGACTGGGCACTTCTCAGGAAAACATTCGTCGCCTTAGACCCATTCATGAGTTTGCGTGAATTTCAGCGAGCAACGATTTGTTTGGGTCATTAGTATTCTGCAGGATACATTTTATATGAACTACATTGGTATGAAGCGTACACTGGGACCAAATGGCTCAGGCTTAATTGCAATGTTTGCTGCTGCTAAGGTCAATTTTATAGCACGCAAAAGTGTAAGAATCCTACTGAGTATAATGACCAGCAAAGGTAGGCTTTCAGTAGACTGTATTGGACAACCCATTTCAGATGTCTCAACGAGCACAATAACAAAAGAGAGCTTGTTAGACTGCTTCATTTCAAAGATGAACTCACGTTTGTGTTGAAGCCCATCATGGCAACCTGGATGCATTACTTTTATCTGAATCTATATTCATTGATATCATGAACTCAACAACTCATGCATTAAAATTCAGCTTTAACAACACTATGATTAAGCCCAAATAAATGCTGTTGCAATTTGATCTCCTCTAGGTATAGCTCTTGTTAACAATTTTGTTGGTTTCTATAAGAAACAGATCCTAAATGGAGTGATCCCAAACCTCTTACCCCTTGCATTTTTTCAAGGCGTAGATGATGTATTTTTTATACTTGAATCTGCAGCGACATGTCAGAATTTCCTTACACCCCTCACTTGGCTTTATCTAGCATGCAACATCTTGACAGCAGTGAAAAATCAAAGGAAAATACTTGTGTCACTCTACTGTGTATTTCTGATCTAAATGATTACTAAATTTCTGAGTTAACTTTACAAACCACTATAGCTCTCTTTTATTTCGAATAAGAGCATGTATGATAAGAAAAATGTTTTCAGTTTTTCTGCAGCGCAGACATTAACCATTGGTTGGTGCTATAGGATGAATTTAATCTCTTGTGCAGTTGTATTTTTACTTTGAGCTCCGTTATTTTTCAGTATTTTTATTTGTATTGTAAACCATCTTTTCTCTTTTTCCTATCTGGGCAGCTCCCCCCATCTTAGTTTTGCCAGTTTCAAATACATTATCCTCTCATTTAGCATTTACATTTTGCCCACTAACCACCACCCTTTAATTAATGCTCCTTGTCCCATTCCAGATCCTTGCGACTGACATTGCTGTCTGGAGGACTGGCTTCAGATTTGACCATGTCTCTTCTCAAACCATTTCTATTTACAGACGTGTTGTCATGGTGTGAAAGCCATTTGTCTAATAATGATGGTAGGCACCAACAGTAACAACTTACATTCATGTAGCACCTTTATCATAATAAAATACCCCAAGGCCCTCCATGGCGCTCAATAGAACAAAGTATAACACTGAGTATCAGTAAGAAATATCAGGAAAAAGGACCCAAAGTTTGGTCTAAGAGGCAGATTTTATGGAACCCCTTAAAGGAGGAAAGTAAGGTGGAGAGACTGAGAGGTGCAGGAATGGATTTCCAAATCTTAAGGCCCAGACAGCTTAAGGAGCTGTTACCAATGGTAAATTAATCAAAATTGAGGATGCCCAAGTGTTTAGAAAAAGATGTAGGTCCAAATGAAATATAACAGATGCTGGAAATTTTTAAATTGTTGTGTTTAGTTCATTTGTATGAATCCATTGTCTTCTTCTTCTGGTAATCCTCGAAGTGAAGAGGATTCTTATCATGGAATACAGCCTGTGGCAAGAAGTCGTGGAGGCTGTTTTGCGCTTCAGGTACTACAGGGTTCTGGTTGACCAGGAAACTTTCTTGTTTTTACCACCATCCATAGGCATAATGGAAGGATTTTCAAGTTGATAATCAACCTGTTTGGCTACATCACAAACGGAATCCATTGTACAACTGTAGTACATAGGAGACATACATAAGCACATTGATTTCTTGGCATCAACATATGTTTAAGGATTAAAGGAATTAGGAATCCTTCTGGTTTTAAGTTATTTAGTATTGTGAGAGCTATTCAATTTTTTTGAATTAAAAAGGTAATCTTTTCATTAAATTTTCTTTTCTATATTCAATCAGGATTCAGGTTATGAAATTGGTTCGCTGCTTTTTTGTGGTAATTGTGTAAATTTCCTGTTTGGCCAGGAGGTGGAGTGATTCGCTTTGAGAAGAATTTGATCTCATCCATTTTTCTTCTTTCAGAGATTTGCAAAGGGCTAATGTGTTACTGAAGGCCACAGAAGAGTTTGACTTTGGTCTTTTTGCCTTTTTTGTGACAATAGCAACTGAATAATAAGATAATAAGATATTCACCTTGTTGCTTTTAAACAGTTCTCAGTTAATTAAATGATTACAAATACAAGGTTTTTGCTAATTGACAATGTTTCTTCTTTGACAGATCATGGATTATCTTCTGCAATTGACTAGCCTGAAGGCTGAAACCCCAAGTTGAATACATTATATCAATCCTGCCAGAAATAAATCTAAAGAGACTATTATGTTCTTTTCTCCAAGTGTTTAGCTGTACCAAATTCTGGATAAAATTGCTTTTGTTTTAAAATAACTGAATGTTCTTGTACCTCTGAACATTAACTAAATGATTTTCACGCAGCAGATTATGCTTTGATGTTTTTAATGTAAATAAGCATTGTTAGGGAAGGTCTTCCAATATAAAGATCATAACTTTACTATTTTGGTGTCTTATAATCATTTGGTTTGCAGCTACATTATGAATTCAAAGAATAAACTCTTAACCATATCATGTAAGTTTCTATAGTTAAAGTAACTAAAGCCATTTAGAATTGGATGATAAGCAATGACATCTGAATTCATGCATGCACACTCTGAATGTGAACCATCAGTTTACCATCACTGATTTCCCCACGCGCGTTGTAGATAATTACTGATATTTTCATTTTATGCAAAAGGAGGAATAATGGATTACTTAATTCTTTAGAATTGATTGTCATCTCTCCGGCTGGAGCTGGAATTGATACTGTTACCGAACAATTAGCTGAGAGAATGTCAGTCACAAACAAAAACGGGGCGCTTGAGACGTTGACTCTTACAACATACATGAACATAGATAAAGGTACAAAGGGGAATGGAGAAATGGTTCTAATACTAATAGCTCAACACAATGGGTGGAATATTCCAGGCACACAACAGATTTTGGAAGGATGGATGAGGAATTCTGATGGGTGGGAGGAAAAAGTTCAGTTTCCCAATGGGGGTTAAAGTTTTGCTATTAGGTTCTCTGAATCTTTCAGATGGATTGGCTTCCTTCATGGTTGGGGACCTCTTTTGCATTCACTGGCATTCCTAAATAAACATTAACACCTCAACCTGTTGCAATTATATTCATGGGCGCAAACATGTTCACCAAAAACGGGAAATACATATATTCGCAAAGCTGCTTCATTCTCCAAGCTCTGAAGACTACAGGAACAAAAACAAAGTTGCTGGAAAAGCTCAACAGATCTGGCAGCATCTGTGAAGGAAAAAACAGAATTAACGTTTCAGGTCCGGTGACCCTTCCTCATAACTTCTCAGAAAGGGAAGTGCCTAATCAAGGCACCCTGAAGAAGGAATTAAGTTATTGGAAGGATGCAGAAGGAAAAACACAAGACCAACTTACAAAGAATTCCATTCCTTTAACAGGAAATATATCCTACACATCAGCAATCCACGAGCAATTGGGAACCCCTTTCATGGACCCATATCAATCTTAAAGCCTCAACTGTCCCTAAATTGTCAGATTGCTTGTTAAACATCCAAGACTGTATGAGCAAAAAATTCACCCAATAAATTTCAGGAAGACTGAAGCCATCTGCCTTGAACACCATTCCTGGTAACCAACTCCCTTCTTCTCTCTGGCAATTGTCTGAGGATGACTGAGACTTCAAAGACTTAGTTCCATATCCCCACTATCCTGGGGCAAGGGTGCTACCATTAACTGGAAATTGAATTGAGGCAGTCACATACGGCTACAAGAGCTCATCAGGACATCAGAATTGCAATCAGAGCATGCAATTCACCTTCTGTCTCCCAAAAGCCTGTCAACAATCTACAATGCAAGCTAGGAGTGTGATAGAATACTCTCCATTTTCCTGAATAGGCGTAGCTCCAACTGCACTTAAAAAAGCTCAACACTATCTGGACAAAGCAGCCCACTTGATTGCCACCCCATCCACCATCTTCAACATTCAGTCCCTTCCCCACCAAAGAACTATGGCAGCAGTTTGTATTGTTATATAAGGTAGTTAGAAAATAAAAGTGTTCACTGGCATCATGAGTGGAGCTGCACCCCTCAGGTAAAAAGAACAATTCCTGGGAGGAGTTAACCGTTCTTAAGTGTCCCAGAATATTTTAGTAGTAGTATTTCAGTATCCTTAAGAATAGCCTGAGGTCTTACCAAATACTCTCGTGCATCTCTGCTATAATGCTATTAAGTAATACGTAATAAGTTTATTATTTTTGTCAAGATTGAGCCAACTTCTGCTGACGATTTTATATGGGCATTCTTCTCAGTTAGGAATTTGTAACTTAAAAACTTATACCATGAAGATGGATTCATGGCAGTTATTCAACCCACAGCATCCAGGGATGGTTCAGTGGACATGACCAATGTTCGATCTAAGCTGTGTGGCCATGAAGCTGCTCCGAGGGTCCACATACACTGATCAGTGAATGCTGGCACATTCATTTTTGGTTTCTCCTGACACTGCTGTACACAGATCATGGAGATCCATGCAACAGCAGGAGAAATTAGAGGGAGTGAGGGACATGACCCATTTATTTAAATGATTTGGATATGAACGTAGGAGGTATGGTTTGTAAGTTTGCTGATGACAATAAAATTGGAGGTGTAGCTGACAGCAAAGCAGGTTACCTCAGAGTACAACCGCATCTTGATCAGATGGGCCAATGGGCCAGGGAGTAGCAGATAGAACTTAATTTAGATAAATGTGAGGTGCTACCATTTGGAAAGGCAAATCAGGGCAGGATTTGTACACTTAATGATAAGGTCCTGGGGACTGTTGCTGAACAGAAACCTTGGAGTGCAGGTTCATAGTTCCTTGAAATTGGAATCGCAGATAAATAGGATAATGAAGAAGGCATTTGGTATGCTTTCTTTTATTGGTCAGTGCATTGAGTGTTGGAGTTGGGAGGTCATGTTGCAGCTGTACCGGACATTGGTTTGGAATATTGCGTGCAATTCTGGTCTTCCTCCTATAGGAAGGATGTTGTGAAACTAGAAGGGGTTTAGAAAAGATTTACGAGGATGTTGCAAGGTTGGAAGGTTTGAGCTATAGGAAGATGCTGAATAAGCAAGGGTTATTTTCCCTGGAGCATCGGAGGCTGAGGGGTGACCTTATAGAGGTTTATAAAATGATGAAGGATGTGGATAGGGTAAATAGGCAAGGTCTTTTTGCTGAGGTGGAGGTGTACTAAACTAGAGGGCATAGGTTTAAGGTGAGATGGGAAAGATATAGAAGGGGCAACTTTTTTCACCCAGAGGGTGGTGCCTGTACAGAATGAGCTGCCAGAATAAGTGGTGGAGGCTGGTACAATTACAACATTTAAAAGGCATCTGGATGGGTATATGAATAGGAAGGTTTAGAGGGATATGGAGCAAATTCTGGCAAATGGATTTATGTAGGATATCTGATCGGCATGGACGATTTGGACGGAAGGGTCTGTTTCCATGCTGTTTATCTCCATGACTCTACAACTCGATATTTCATGTACCAGGTACAAGATGCACAACAGGAATTCACCAAGGCTCCTTTGACTGCATCTGCCATAATTGTGACCTCTACCACCTAGAAAGAAATTAGCAGCTGTTTCATGAGAGCACCACCAACAACATGCTTCCTTCAACACTACACACCACCTTGTAGGCTAACCTGGGGTTAGAGACATACACTGGATATTAATAACCAAAAAGTCAAGAGTTTGGCCAAAGCAAATATTCTTCATCATTTGTTTCTTGGTTTTTATTGCTTTATTCATTCATGGAATGAGGGTGTCGCTGGCTAAGCAGCATTTATTGCCCATCCCTAATTGCCCACAGATCCCTTAAGAGTCAATCACATTGCTGCGGGCCAGACCAAGTAAGGATGGCAGTTTCCTTTTCTAAAGGACAATAGTGAACCAGAAGAGTTTTTACCAATAATCGGCAATGGGTTCATGGTCATCGTTAGATTCTTAATTCCAGATATTTATTGATTTAATTCAATCATTACACAGATCAATAAAACAGACGGGAGTGAATGTCCACCCTGTGTGTAGATGCTCTGTTTCCTTGAGAAGCAGACAGGATTGGGTGGTCAATCCAAACTTGTCCACCCTCCTTATGGCTGAGATTAGATTAATCCCTTCCCCATCCAGTAACTCAATGGCCCCGATTTAATGACTATCTTGCTGAAATAGGTCTTACATGCTTTCTGACTGGCTCATTGCTCTGTTACTGATAATCCATGATTGATCTCTTTTCACCACTGGCAAACATTCCCAGGGACCTGGAACTATATTGCCATTCGTTCACTGTTTCTGGGTAAAAATCCTGGAACTTAACAGCACTGCAGGTATAGCTACCCACAATGGACAGCAGCGGTTCAATAATGGTTTAATACTACACGGATAAAATAAGGCTGATGCATTTGCAACAATATTCAGCCAAAAGTGTTGTGTGAATGATCCAGGCATCAAACTGGTAAATGTTATCTGAACTGCTTTCGATGCATTGAAATCCTTCCTTAAATATGGAGACCAACAAAATATTCCTCTCAGGTGTATGGTAGCATGGCAACACAGACACTGGAAAGCTTCTGTGCTCAGAGTTCTGTGCAAAGCAAGAAATGTTCCAGGGAACATTGGAAACCAAGACTATACACATTATGCCAGTTGTGTGTTTAAGTAAGAAATCTGAGTTAAAATTGTTAGGACTTGAGGCACATTCTCTCATGTCCTTACCTCAACCCAACACACACCAGGCCTTGCTATCACATGGTCTGCTATTACACACTACCCATTGTTAGCCACTAATACTCCTCTTTTGCAGCCATTCATTCTCACACGCTGACTGTTATCTTCTCCTTTGTCCAACTGCCCTTCTCTTTCTTTGGGCTCTATCCCCAACTATCGATTGTTCCTTAGCCTTTCCCTACACCCTATCTTCTGCATAAAACCCAGTATTTTCCTAGCTACCATCAGTTGTGAAGAAGTGTCACTGGAACCAAAACATTAAACTCTGATTTCTCTCCACAGATGCTGCCAGACCTGCTGAGCTTTTCCAGCAATTTCTGTTTTTATTTCTGATTTCCGGCATCTGCACTTTTGTATTTTTTGTCCTATTGTTTCATTTTTAATCTCCCTTTTTGCATATAGCTCATTCAAGTGGTCTTCTTCATGTGAGATAGTAACTATTGGTGGAGAGGTTAACTGTGAAAAGCATTGCAGATTCCCAATTATTTCAGTGCATGCTTTCTTTGCAATAAGCTCCTTTAGATGACTGGCATTTGCTTTTCATTGTTTTGGGGTACTGAGACCAACTTCTGCCTCTCGGTTGAGATAAACTGACAAAACTTGTGCAAATTCAACTCATCAAACAATGCATTCACTCGTGGAGCCACCAAAGCCTCTTGACATAACTTTTATCTCTCCAAGATGCAAATATTCAAGC